GCGGTCGGGCCCCGCAATGCTGAGGAGCTCTCCAGTCGCAGGGCGTGGGGTGGGCCCGGGTAGTGCCGGCTGTGGCCGTGCGGAGGGAAAGGCCGCGTCCCCGTGGGGAGGAGTTTCCTGGAGGCCTTTTCGTGAGGGTATGGCCTGTGCAGTTTATTTGTTGTAATCATTGGGATAGGAAAAGGAAGAGGTAGGGTATCTTGTATTAATTATTTCCTGAAATGGATACTGGCATAAGTAATACTCGATTAATTAAAGTCAAAGAAGTGATGGTGAAATATGTTCAGTGAAAGGAAGTATTCTTGTACTGCTCAACTAAGGCTCAATATTTCTACAAAGTGTTTATATATAAACGTTTGGTGGGTTTTCTCTCAAGAAAAAAATGAATATAGTTAATAAGTATCATTTTTGTGTAAGATTTATTTTTCTTTCCTTCTCTCTCAGAACCTTACCTCCCAGTAAGGAATAGGTAACGACCATATCTCAGTACTTACAGGAGGGAAAAAAAAAAACCTCAAATAAAGGAAATGCCACATTCATTTGATATAATAGTGATCATAAACAAAATTATGAGACTTAAAGAAGAAGCTAGTATTAAAAGTCATCAAGTAACATATCCTGTTTGGCTTTTAGGGAACAGCAGCATTGCTGAAGAAGTTTTAATTTTAATTTTTAATACATGCTTTACCTCCTTTTTTGCCTTAAATTCTGTGAGTTGAGTGACAGAATATTGATTGCTGATCTTCAGTAACATACTTTGATACTGGGAAAAAAACCCACTACAAAACAGTTGGAGCATAATGCACATGACATCACGGATAAGAAAGCAGAAGAAAAACTTTAAAAAGGAAGAGAAAAGGGGGAAAGGTCTGATAACCACCAGTTCTCCAGTTGTATTCTCAGTGTTGTGTAACTGACCATCATAATTGTCCTATGGAAAGATTTGAGGTGATGTGTTCAGTTTTAAGATTCTCAACTAAATTTTTCATTCAGATAGACCTTTTTACCTTTTTTTTTTTAGTAGCTGAATGAAATTTCCTTTTTCAGATGGTATTACAGCTTACTTGAAGCCTACATGAATGAAAAAGAACGGAAAAAGGAGGCACTGTCCTCTAATTACAGAATCTTTTTCTCTATTTTCCTCTGAAATACTGTTTATGCAGCAGATTTTTCTACATACTAATCACTCTAGAATTTAAGGATATTTTTTCCCTTTCTTCTTGAACAGCATTATCTTCATGGCTTTCAGTTCCTATTTTTACTCATAATTTCTTATGAGTTATCACAAGGGTAAGCCTTAATTGCTTATTTTACAGCTAGCCATAATATTTTCTAGAATAGCCTTCATTCATGCAATTCTGGAACTTACAAATGAGTGTAAGGAAGAGGATCAACTGCCCCAAATCCATAAACATAATTTTACAGTGTGTGCTTGACTGCTGGCCAAGGCCTTGGCTTCTGCTCAATCAGAAATTAAGTGTTTTATACCCATTTCACACTCTTGCATTCCTGTGCACCGAGTTGAGGGAATTATGTCGCTAAACACGATGATGTTAAGTAGAAGCAATTGAGTAAGCGTGGTTTTTTTTATGTCCTCTTTGATGTAAGCCTGCTGCTCATTTTTCACATATGCTCCTCTCCCTGTGAAGTTGGTGCTCTGAGGGACCTCCACTTACGTACAGCTCTGTATTTATGAGAAAAGTAAATAGTAGCTTTTCTTCTGTTTGGAACAAAGAGTTGCTAGGGAATAATTTAACAAAAGGAGATCTCATGATCTCTTAGTTTAGAGTACCGTTGTCTTTCTGGAGCCCTTTCCCCAGAATCTTTAATTCGGTGTAGTTCTGCATTGTGTGTTGTGCGCCTCTCAAAAGACATCGCTGTGAATGTCACGTTGTTGGGAACGTATTTAACTGATCATTTAAAGTCCGATGGTGTTTTGGATTTTGTAAATCTGCTTTTGTGAGATACTTTAAATAGACATTTAAATTAGCTGAAGCACTTTCTTGGCATTTCAGTTGACCTGCCGAAGATCAATTTGGCACAGAGAGGTGTGAGGACGTATCTTTAATTTCTTCTTTCTGCTGGGGGCTTCTTGTGCTCTGAACACTTTCTTTCTCCCAACCCTCTGATTATGATGATTCAAGGCCATTTGGACACTCTTAGAATCACATACTTGATTTTTGTGTTTGCTTTGATGATTCTGGGCAGTGTTTACAATGCTGTCGAAGTGTGAGAGTGGTGTGCTAGTTACACCAAAAGTGTATCTTTCTCCTTCCTTATGTTGAGATGATGGCCTTAAAGATGATCCTCATTCATTCCAAGAACAAGCCAAAATTACTAACTTGTAATATGCCATATATGAACTATTCAAAACCAGCAATTTATCTTTGGTAAATAGCATCCTGTAGGTTTCTAAAGTACAGTTTTAGCATGTCTTCACTCAAATAGCATAACCTCTTTATGACAAGCTAACTGCAAGCCTCTAATATGTGTTTTTTGTTATAAAAATAATAATTAACAAAACAGTTGTCTTCTGATGTTAATTTGTCATCTGAAAATGCTGGTACAAGTGTTGCTAGGGGATGTCTTGCTGCTCCATTTACCTATGATGTATTTTTCTGCTTGGCTGTACATCGCAGGAAGGGTATCTCAGTCTTAAGCTGTAGTCCTTGGTAAGAGCAGCCCAAGAAGAAAAGTACTGTGCCCCCTTGTGTTTTGATAGGCTAATTATTGTCTTTGAGATTTGTTTTGATTCTCAAGTGTAGCAATAGTTTGGGGAAGTTTTTTTGAATTTGATCTTTTTGAAGTTTGCAAAGCTCAAATATGTTGGGGGGAGGAGGGGAGGAGAGAGAGACACGTCTGTCTGTCTGTCTCTCTTTGAGCTGAAAAGCACAGAAATGTATCTCTTGCGTTTTACACTGTTCAAGCAGTCCTTCAGCCATAAGCAGGCAAGACAAAATGTTGCATCACTTTTTTGTTTCACTTTTATACATTATATCTAAGGGAAAAGTTCTTGAACTCATCTTCTCTCCATTTTTTGAAGGCTTTCATAGGACATAGCCTGAAAAGAAACTTAGCAGGGGACTGTCAGAATGACCCACAAAAATTTGAGGCAAGTGTTGTAATGAGAGGCGTACTCATGGCAATAGCTGTACGGGCAGAAACAAATGACTGCACAGGAAGCCACCAAATAGAAATCTAGGGAGCACTTGTTGTAGGCAGAAAGAAGTACAAAATAGCTTAGAGGCTTGCAGTTAGCGCAGTCATCATAAAAAAGATCATGTTGTTTGATTGAAAAGAATGCTGTGAATCTTAGAAATAGACAGGGTGTTATCTATAAAGGATAAATTGCTCTGTCTTTGGATAGCTCAGTGCTCTGAATAGCTCAACATTCTTATCTAAACTAAAATTTGCAACCTCGCTTGGATGCCTTTATTCTGAAAGGAAATGTTGTGTATAGAACTTCCTGGAGAGTACTTAACACTAATGGTTTTACTGTTAAAATATTAGTGAATGTGTGGTGGTCTTAGCCAGATTCTGATCCTGGCTGCTTTAAACTTGTGCACTTTAAAAGAATAGTCTGTAATAACTCTAGCTATATGTTGTTTGCTGATAGTTCTTTTTTTTTCATAAACTATAGTTTCAGCAATGAAGCATCGTGCAAAAAACGAGAGGATTATTTGGAATGGCCTGAATATTTTATGGCAGTAGCTTTTTTGTCAGCACAAAGAAGTAAGGATCCAAGTTCTCAGGTAAGAAGGCAAATTATAAGAATAACATAACCTAATCTCTATTGCACATCGCATCAGATGTACATATAATGCTTTCAGGGATTTCTTATTAAAAGTTATTTCAGTGTATAGCTATTCCATTTTTAACATGGTCAGCACCTTTTGTTACAGAAATTCCCTTGTATTGCTGCTGGAAAAGCTAGTCTGGGGAGTTGAACTTTCAGAAAACCTAGATTTAGGAGGGTTAGTTTAGTGCTGGTTCCACTCTTGAGCTAGGTTCACTTCGTATTAGGGCAAGGAACAATGCTGGCAGGCTGAGAATGGGGACTGCATGACCACAGGGGTAGCAGGGTTGTATCAGCCGCGATTTACTCTAAAGCTCTGCCAGTTAGGTACGGTTGTAGCCTTGCTCACTATATGGTGTGAATTAAGTGGAGCTTGTATCTTTGAATGAAAATTGTAGGACTGACTTTTCAGGTCTTGTCTTCCTTGTTGATGCATTGTTTTGCATGCTGTTGGTACTATATAAATCTGATTTTATTTAGGTTGGTGCCTGCATTGTAAATTCAGAAAACAAGATTGTCGGAATTGGATACAATGGGATGCCTAATGGCTGCAGCGATGATGTACTACCCTGGACAAGAACAGCAGCACATAGGCTAGACACAAAATATCCTTATGGTAAGGTTTCTTGTGGTTGACAGGTCAGACTTGTCACGTCTGTATATATGAAAGTTCAGCTGGTAAGATATTGATCCAGTTTTCTTCCACTCACCTGATTTTGTTAATGTGCCCATATGTGGTACATCAGGATAAAAATCACAGCTCTGAAAACAAATGAAAACAGTCTTTATGAAGGACTGACTTCCTGGTGAGGTATGTTCATTAATGATTAGGCCATCTTGGATTGTGTAGTGAAAACTTGTAAATGTATCGCAGCTCATTAGCGTGCAGTTGCAGTATATGCAGATGGTTGCTGCTTCTATGTGGTCATTTCCACAGACATTACAGAGAGCATGTATATGCAAAACAATTTGATCTGAAATACAGGTATTAAAATCATAAACTCCAGTGGTTGTGGAAAAATCCAGTGTTTAGGTGTTGATGGCATAGACAATACATATTATGAAGGAGTCAAATTTTGTTTGTCTTGAAGTATGTGACTGCATTCTGTCATTCCATGCCATTTTTGCCGCATCTGGTGGATCTGCCCTGCTATGGGTGAGGTGACTTTCACTGTTTGTTCCAGCCTCTGATTTGATTCACATTTAGTAAATGGGAAAAGGAACGAAGAGCAAGGATGGTTTAATGGTAAATGTGGCCAAGTGCTGCTTTGGACCCTGTAATTTGGCCTTCTGGAAGCCTGCCTTGAAGGCTCCTCTGTTAATCTTGGTGCACCCATCAGCGAGGCTGTACAGTTGCTCCTCTGGGCCAGGCATGGTTTCCAGAACCCAAGGAGACAACTCGCTGGGCTGCCTCAGGCTTTATGCCATGAGTGCTTTCTGCTGAGCGTGGAAATGGAGTTGAGAGCTGCCTCGTGACCTGGAATAGCTCATGTTGGGGAGGAGCTGTGGGTAGGACCGATAAGGAAGCAGGGAGTGTGCACTCTCTTAAATCCCCCTTCATCTTTCTGCTTCCACACCAGCTCCTGTTGCACCTCTGTGGGGTGAAACCAATGCACCAAAGGCCATGGGCACAGGCAAAATGGGTTTTAGGAGCTCCTTCATCCTGTGCTGCATCTCAGCCTGTCCTGGCCTCAGGAATGGCAGGGGGAAGAATCACAAAACTGAATGGAAGCCCTGAGAAATTCTCCCTTCCCTTTGCATGGGTGGGGGTAAATGAGCACCAGAATTTAGCTTTTGCAAGGAGATACCAGTTCTTTTCCAGTGTACAGTATTTATATCTCCCTACTAATTCAATGTTTTACTTGTAACTTCTAACACTTGGTCTGATACAGAAATCTGACTTGCATGAGTTCTGACGTTTCCTGTGTTCACCCAGAGCTCTCTCTAAAAGCGACATTACATTTTCTGGTTTCCCATAGCATGGAAGTGAAAGATGATATGCAGTGGTTCAGCACATAATTCATCAGTTTCCTATTTGAGTTCTTAAAACCCTGGTACTTTGTCCTTGTTCACTTTACCAATTTATTATAAAACCTCCAACATTAACTCTTAGGCTTGAGACAGTTTAATATTATTCTTCATATGAGATGTATTCCCAATACTAGGGCCAGCTCCTGCCAAATTTTAAGTCTGCTCTAAAGCACAGAAATGCTGGTTTTACATACAATGGCAGTATAATGATGGTACAATTTACTATGACTGCCCTTTATTTATAGCTTGAGGAAACAAGTGTTAGCCCATTGATTGAATATAAAGTACTGAAATCAGAATATTGATTTTGGTTGAATCTCTCTGCTGTTGTAAGGTCTCAGTTCTGAACTAAGATCAGTGTGGGTGGTCTCTGGGACCTCAGCATGTTCCAGGCACTCAAACCTAAGCTGACCAATTTAAACTAAAAATGCTGTATGAATGTGAAGAATCTTTGTACAAGATGACCTGAAATTTTTATTTTTAGTTAACTCTGACTCCAAAATATGTGGAGTAAAATCTCTCATACTTGATGTTTAAAAAAATGCATTAACAATCTGAGAGCCTGGAGAGATGAGTTCATTTCTAGGAGATGGTCTAACTACTGCCCTTCCCCCCAGGAATCTTAGTCTTCACCTCATTAAAAAAATCACAACTTTGTAACATAAAGTGTCTGCTGTGATGAATAAATTACCTATTTTGTAATTCACAGATCATTTAAACTCTAGCAGTTTCTTATTAGTCTTGATAGCACAGTTGACAGACCAAAGAAGTATATATATGTGTGTGTGTATATATATG